TTGATATATCTCAACTTTCAATGTCATCTCGGTAAGGAGTACTCAACTTGTGATATCTAACCATTAGCCTTGTGTAGGTGATAGTTGTTCACAGTTTTCCTAACTAGTCCATCAGCCCATGCTCCCACATGGGTCGCATGGGTTAGGACCTTAGGATACATAAGCACTATGTGTTAATGTTTAAGACATATGACTAATAAAAAATGATTTTTTTATTTTTTTTCATTTTCCATTTTAAACATAATGGGTATATTTATACTCTGCAATATCTATCCAACTGTGATAAACTTATCAATTATTAAGTACTACAATAGCATAAATGTTAATTTAAACATGAACCGTCACTCAAGATGGGTGGTGGAGTAGGATAAGGTAGTGGTACTAATCTCAAGAGAATATTAGTATTTTAAGCTTTATAATTATTATCAGTCGAAAGGAATCTCACCTTTGGTCTGCACTATCCTCTCTACTTCTAAAGATTTTTTAAATTTTCCTATCAAGAAAAAATAAAGTTCTTATAATTGTACTACCAATATAAATATGAAATTACAGCCAAATGTTATTCTAGTTTATTTCTCCCCTCATTCAAATTATGTGAAATGTCATTCTAATTCATTTGAGCAAGTGTTTGGCTCGATCCAATGACCCAAAATAATTATAACTTGCCTACCTAGCAATACTAATTAGAGTCTACTAAATTAAATGCTAAAATGTTTTTAATATTATTATAAGAGCTCTAGTCTTTTATCCTAACGCTCTCTCATAATGATTAATTAACGTGGAAACTCTCTTAGGTCCTCTGGACCACCTGATAGTGGCTAGGTAAATTTCAGTAGAAACTGGACTGGCACAATTAATACTCTTGCATCCTCGGCCTTTCATCTCAACATTTGCTGGCGCAGCGACGGGCTGGCTAGTGCAGCAAGTTGAATTTGTCCATACTTCTTAGAGCAATTTTAACTTATCTCAAAATGGAACATAAAGGCCAGACTAGTCTACTGATTAATTTATCTTATTACGCCAAAGGTAGCTCAATGCACTTGAAATAAAGGAAAAAAGAAAAGTTTCCACGAAAGACGCAACGCAAAAGCCCTCCTCCCTCAAATAAAGGTTAAAGTTTGCACGCTCAGAAAAAGTTTAGTTTTTTCGGGACTCAAAATCAGATTCCCAGCCATGTGTATGGACTATGGAGAATACTGCGGCCGGATAGATGCCAAATGCAAGGAAAAATCCTTTGGAGGAAAGTGCCAAATGTTTTTACCAGGGAAAGAGAGCACAAAAGCAGGGAAGTATCCTAGGGGCCTTTTATTTGTAGCAAAAAAATGCTGCTGCTCTTCCTATCATCCATAACAGCCAGTATCTGAGTCTCTAAATTCATATGCTTTCAGTTGATTTTCAGATTGCTCATCAGGTCATGAAATCAAGCATACTTAGCCTTAGTTTATATTCACATTTCTAGCATAAACATCGCCGAGTTTGGAAATCAGAAAAAGATAGCTGACCAGATGATTGCAAGAGAGCATGATAATAATCAGATAAAGCCGCTGTTCTTTCACACTCACATGCTGCCATGCATGATGTCTGCTTGAGCCGAGCCGCTCTACTGCAATTTCGGCCCATCACCCATGTCGAAAGAAAAAAAGAAGGGTGTTTGCACGCGACGGAAAGGCCCGTCTCGCAATGATGGATTTTCGTTTTGGCATATATTCCTTGCCCACAAAAGGCGCCTCCATCCAGCGCCCGTCAGTGAGCTAGCTACAAAGGACAATTAGGGCCTTTGATCCCAGCCTTTGGTAAAACTAATCTACCGTGCTTTGGCAACAAAGATAGAGAGATGATGATAGCAGATTGAACTTTCGTCTGGGCGTAAGAATCCAAAGCTTCGTGCGAGTTTGATTCCCATGTGACATCCACCTGTGTACTGTTACTGTAGAAGAAAGTAGCTGCACTGCAAGCTATCTCGAGTTCTTGTCTTCTTGACAGGGTGCTTCGACCCTCGAGTGTAGCCATACTGGCACAAGATACTGCCAAGCTGCCAATTTCACTGAAGAACGAAGGGTTCATGCAAAAATGTTTCGAACTCTGTTGAAAGTTCATGTGGTTTCTGTAAACGGAGTGTGTTTCGCCTGTGACTTTCAAACGAAGTGAGTTTCGAAGTCAGTCATCAGGCGCCAGAGCACCTCGCTGTCAGTGTCAGTCCGACTAAGAAGAAGTGAGGACACACTTGTGGGGGTGTCAGCAGCAATGCTGGAGAGAACATTCTGTGCGGCAGCTCATGCCTTCTCCGTGCGCTCAGCCCTGCTTTTCTCGGCAGCAAGTGCCAAGTGCAAGGCCGGCCGCCGGCAGTGGCGCCAGTGCACCACCGTGTCCTTTCCCAGCTGCCGAGGTGCCTCCCCGCTCCCCCTGTTAAAGATGACGAAACAACGTGTGCAAAAGAGAAGCTGCAGCTCTTGCTCTCTGCCCCTTTCAGCTCTTTTTCAGCCTCTTTTCTTCGTCTGTAGCTGAGCCACAGCAAAATATTCTTCGTCCTTCTTTAACCAGAGATTACTGCATACATAATGTTGGTTGGTTTATTTCAGTAATCCGTGGCATTTTGATGAACCCAAGACTTCTTTAAAAGAAGGGGAAAAACATTGTCTGATTTAGCAATCAAGTCTTTTCCATTGACATCCGGGGCAGTTTATGGAGCTTTCCCAAATCTTGTATTGCAAGTTGTAATCTTTGTCACATAATTCCTCTTAGTTCGATCCTACAAAACCGTTGTTAATTCATGATAATATGTCAGCACATTAGACAGAGGCTCCGACTGACGGTGTTGTGATCGTCAAATAGTATTCTTATCCTACCTTTTGGAGCATGCATGCAAGCATACATTCAAGCGTAGTGTACTAGTGTGTACCTTTTCTCCTCCTCCCCCCTTTTTCAGCGGACTTTGCCTCCATATAACAAGATGCCATGGCCACTCACCAAGCTGCATTACACTGCAATACACTACACTACACTACCACTCTCTCCAGCTACATCAAGAACCATACCAAAACCCAAGTAGAGCAAGAGCAAGGGTTGCAGCTGGCAAGAAGCTTTGCTCGGAGTCAGAGATGGAGTTCCTGTCGCAGATGTGGTCGCTCCTGGGCCTGCTCACCATCCTGCAGAACGTCCTCCCCACGCAGCTGCTCTCCCTGCTCCACTCGCTGTGGCAGTCGCTCCAGGACTCGCTCACGCCCTACTCCTACTTCGACGTGCCCGAGTTCCTCGGCTCTGCCGCCGTCGAGCCCAACGCGCTCTACCGCCACGTCCAGCTCTACCTCCACCGCTCCCTCCTCCTCTCCTCGCCTCCGCCTCCCCGCCTCACCCTCTCGCTGCCGCGCTCCGCCGTCTCCGGCGGCCACGCCCACGGACACGGCGCCGCGCCGTCCCCACCGTCCGTGTCGCTCTCCCCGAACCACTCGGTCACGGACACCTTCAACGGCCACCGCGCCGTGTGGACGCACCACGCCGACACGCTCCAGGACTCGCTCGAGGAGCGCCGGTCCTTCTCGCTGCGCCTCCCGAAGCGGCACGCCGCGGCGGTGCTCCCGGAGTACCTCGCGCACCTGGCCGACGCGTCGGACCACCTGGAGCGCTCGTCGCGGGCGCGGAGGCTGCACACCAACGCGGCGTCCCCGCGTGGCGCCGGGGCGTGGGCGTCGGTGCCGTTCTGCCACCCGGCCACCTTCGACACGCTCGCGCTCGACCCGGGACTCAAGGCGCGCCTCCTCGCCGACCTCACGGCCTTCTCCGAAGGGAGGGAGTTCTACCGCCGGACAGGCAGGCCGTGGAAGCGCGGCTACCTCCTGCACGGCCCGCCCGGGTCCGGAAAGTCTTCGCTCATCGCGGCCATGGCGAACCACCTCCGCTACGACGTGTTCGACCTCGAGCTCACCCGTGTGGCCACCAACACCGACCTCCGCGCGCTCCTAATCCAGACCACCAACCGGTCGCTCATTGTCATCGAGGACATCGACTGCTCCCTCCACCTCACTGGCGACCGAGGCCTAGCCTCCGAGAGGATGCACAAGAGACGCAAGCTCCACGCCACTTCCTACAACGACGACTCATCTGACTCGGACGACGCCGACGACGCCGGTGGCAATGCCGACGATAACCACCGGGGCAGGGTAACGCTGTCCGGCCTCCTCAACTTCACCGACGGCCTGTGGTCGTGCTGCGGCGAGGAGCGCATCGTAGTGTTCACGACGAACCACGTGGACGGCATCGACCCCGCGCTGCTTCGCCCGGGGAGGATGGACGTCCACGTCCGCCTGGACGCGTGCGGCACGCACGCCATGCGCGAGCTGGTGCAGCGCTACGTCGGCGTTGGTGACCACAAGATGCTTGACGCCGCCGAGGACTCCATCAGGGGCGGCACCGAGATGACGCCGGCCGAGGTCGGAGAGGTGCTGCTTAGGAACAGAGACGAACCGGAGGCGGCGGTGACAGAGCTCGCCGCCGAGCTGAAGGCGAGGAGAAGCGCGGCTGACGATCTCCACCAGTGGGAAGACTCCGCGGCCGAGCTCTCCGACGGGTCGCCGACGAAGAAGGGGAGGAAGGGGTTGGGGTGGGAGGGCAAGGTCAGGATCCTGGGAAGGCTGAGAAGCCTCACCAAGTCGGAATCGGGCAGACGATGAGCTAGTTTGACTTTGTTTTAGGTCAGCTCGTGGTCGGAGGATTAATATTAACTAGAATCTCTGCTTGGTTTAGATGTGTTTTTTTTGTAGCCTCTGTAATTTGGTTTGAAGTGGATGCTTAATGCAATAATGATGTTTGATAAAATATATAATTGAGCCAAATTACCCCCTTCCCGAATCCGAACACTGCTCGGCCTGAGCCGGAGCCACCTCTACTTAGGTCTCGTGAACGGTGTACTCCTGTCGCGTCCCGGCCCAGAACGCTGCCTCGATCTTCATGGTCGCCAACGAGCGATCAGTTCCACCCACCGGGAACGGTGTACTCCACGGTGCATGACGGACGACGAGCTCATCGCGTCGGGAACGATCATGGACGCCACACGGCTCGCCGCGGTCTGCGCCAAGATCGACGAGTACGCCGCCGGGGGAGCGCCCATGAGCGGCAACAGAATCTCGGCCATCTGCGCTATGATCGACGACGGCGCCGCCGCTCCCAAGCACCGCAGGAATATGAGGCGGCGGCGGCTGTGCGTGGACAGCACCCGCAGCTACAAGCAGATAGGCGAGATCGGCAATGGCAGTTTCGGCGCCGTCATCAAGGCACGCCACCGCAAGACCGGTCTGACCGTCGCCATTAAGAAATTCCGAAGGCGAGGAGATGGCAAGAAATCCCCCGACGTCCGCAAAGTGCTGCGGGAGGCCTGCTTCCTGGCGGCATGCGGCGGCCACCCCAACCTCGTCGGGCTCCACGCCGTGGCACGCGACCCGTGCACCAAGGAGTACTCCGTCGTCATGGAATACGTCGGGCCGAGCCTGCGCCACGCCCTGAAGGAGCACCTGCGCGTCCACGGCGCCCCGTTCCCGGAGGCCGACGTGCGCCGGGTCATGAGGCAGCTCCTGACCGGCGCCGAGGCGATGCACTCGCGCCGCATCATCCATAGTCCCTGCTTCGGAGGTAGGCGCCCGCGCCACGGAGTCGTCGACACAGATAGCATGGTCTATCGTGCTGGTGCTGAAAAGTGTCTGGGCATTTTTGAGGAAGATGGCATTGCCATTAATCAGGTTGCCCCACCAATTGTTTCTAAGATAAACTGGCATTAATTAAGTAATAATAAAGTGAATAGTGGCCGTAAGAGTCACAAAAAGAAAAACACAAATTTTAATAGAGGCGACAAAGGACTCGAAATGATTTCACAAAGGCATTTGGCGCTAGTAACACACCATACCATAGCTCCTCTTTGACTTGCCACCAGATTTTCCATCCAAACGTGTTGTCCCTGAAAAACACGAGCGTTAAGCTCTTTCGAAATCTCCCACGACACCAAGGGATTGCCTTGTGATAAATGTGCAGATATCATACATAGTTTCTCGGCCTCAGGCCTCAGCACCACTTGTGCAAATTCTGATACTAGTAATTTAACCCTGATTTACCAGGATAAATCAAACATGTATGTAGATCACCAATTGCCATTACTTCTATATAACTCAGTTTATACCAGTTAAATACAAAAACCATTAATGGTCCAGAACCATAATTAGATGGCAAAGTTTCCAATGAACAAACTGACCAGTTGACGAACATGCACAGGAAGGGCACCACTCTTTTGATTAATATGGTTCAACAAAGAACTGCAAGCATCACCAACGGAACAAATTAGAGAAGTAACAAAGAACAGACTTAGCTGTAAAACAAACAGGTAGCAGCATTTCAGCAGATTATGACAATCTTCTACAATATGAGTAAACGAGAAAATAAGCAATTATGCTCATGAATAAACTCAGAACTCGCAATAAGATTGCAAGAACAAAGAAAACACATAGCTTGATCATTAGGACAGCAAATATATTAAGATGCGTGCCATGAGTACAAAATGTAGCACATAATGATAAATAAAAGGTCCGATTAGCTAAACAGAAAAGATGAAAAATAAAGTACTGATTATCCTACTTTTACTGGACAGAATTGTACAATTACATGAATCGAACTGGTCTTCTCACCTTCTATGTCCATTGATAGGCCAACGAATGATATATCATGATTATCACTTGAAAAACTTTATATGATGCTCTAGTCTATAGTCACCTCAGAGCTATAATTATAGGTATACACATATGTTCATGATTTCATTAAGCATAATCACTCCAGAACAATAAACTGCAGCTCCTTTGGGCTTCTTATTGCAAAAAAGATACAATTCCATGCTGCCACAGAGTCAGATGCAGCCAAGTATGTTCAATATCATATTGTTGTAGCTTCTAATGATTGCATGCCATAAACAAATCAAACATTATTAGTTCTTACTTCTTACTCCCAACAACTCCACTGTTGCAGCACTTATACCTGATTATCTGTTACCTTCAAAAAGCCATTTCTCCGTGACACTGTAAATGGTTAAATGCAGGAAGGGGGAGACCTAAAATCTATCAGGCTATTGATAAGTAGATTCATTGTCACAAATGAATGCATAAAGATAAACAAAAGGTAAACAAGGTTATTTGTTCTTACTTTTTAGTCACGCCCCGAATGATACTCCACTGTTGCAGCACTAAATATAGACTTACCTGTTACCTAATTGTATAGTTTAGACTAATTTACTTAGCCATTTCTTTTAAGCCTAATTAGACCATGTAAATGGTTAAATGCAGTGAATGGGGTTAATTAGGCCTAAAATCTAACAATCAGGCTTATTGATATGGATTAGATTCATTGTCACCCTATGCAATGAATCATAACAGAATAGCAAGTTTTAGTAGCAACTGACCATCTAAGTCAGCACAGATCTAATACTAGTACACTCCTGGTGTGCCACTACAGGATGAAACTAGTATTTGTGATAACAGAGTTTTTCTCTTTTGAATTCAACTTTCGGCTGTACCTGTGGATTTCAAATCTCACCACCTAATATACTAGTTTAAACGTTCTCAATCCTCAACATTTTCTTCTTTATTTTCTTATGCCAATCTCATAAAGCAAATCATTATTTTAAGCATTACTACATTGTCTGGAACAAGAACGCTTTCCACAAAAAGGGTCCAACCAACGAGAACACCCAATCTACTTAATAAGAGCTGTGGATAAACGTGTGACTCTATTTCTGCCAAATCAGGATCTCCGTCTATATCCTTGAGCAAATGAGCTAAGAAACACTAGAGGATGTTGGTTGTCTCTGTTTATTCATTCCAAATCAAGAAAAATACCCCACAAAATCTTATGACGATTACACATCGGACCATTTCAACTCCTGAATATTGTTGGTACCTATAGCATTGTAAACAACAGATAAACCAAAGCATGCATAGTCGTTGCTAATGCTACAGAACTAAAAATGATTCCACAGAAGCAGAACCAGGACCCAGACACACAATAGTAGCTAGTACTGCATACCATTGGGTGGCGCGATCTTAGGGGAAGGGCGGCAGCCGCAGCACGACCTCCTCGGTGTCCGCCAGGTCCGACCGTGATATCTGCAACAACGCCCACAAAAATCAGAGAACCAGAACCTCTAAATCAGCAACTTTGCACGAACAAGAGATGCGACGAGGAACAGTTCCTAATTTCCTACTGGCCAAGTGGGATACGAACCGGATCGCGGAGGACGGGCTTTGTGTCGTCCACGGCGGGCCGGAACGGCGGCTTTCGGCTCTTCGTCGGCGCCCCGGAGGACGAGCTCATCCCAGTGCTATCTGTCGCAGCCGCGGTGGGGGTGGGGGCGGAGCCGGAGCCGCGGGAGAAGGGACCCGGGACCACCGAGGGGGTCGCGAAGGTGTACGGCCTCTCGCTTCCGGCGGACATGATACCGACGGGAAGTGGTGGATCACCGATTGGGCGCCTCACTTCAAGATTTCAGATCCGAAGATTTCGGTGCCTGAGAGGACAACCGTCTTCAGCAGTTCAGCACTACTACCTGTTTCAGCAAGTCGTACACAGCAGTCGCATCGCATAGACTCTACTTTTTTTTTTTTTGACAACGACTCCTCTACATTTGCTTCCACGAGAGATTAGGAATTGCTTCAGTCCGACTGTATGTGCAGCAGCGTTCGAGAAAAAATTAACTACACAAGCTGCAACATCTGTTTTTTCTTCTCTGACGTTCTTAACTCTTAATTGAGGACAAGCCTCAGATCCACACATCATTCGCTCCATGATTCCATTACTTTGGTCCGTAGGGTACACAAAAACTGGTCGGTCATCGTGAATTCGCAGTACAAGCGTTGCATATTTACAAAGGAAACACCACAGGATCAGAACTGGGAACACACATGCACTCTTCAAATGTACTACTAGTCTACTACTGCTTCCTTTACAAAATGGAAACATTTCCCATTCAAAACAAGAAACAAAACACAAATGAAACTTTGTTCATTTCTTTGCTTCTGAATTCAAAACGTTTTCAGATTCACATTCTTCAGCAGTACATTGTTTGCCTATCTCAATGATTCTCTCAGCAGTACATTTTTTTGCCTATCTCAAAAGTTTCCAAATCTAGTCAAATTCATTTTGAAGAATTTTTATTAATAAACCAAACCACGACAAAAAAAAGTGATATTTTACACAAACTTTGAATAAGACGATTTTCAAAAAAGTCAAACGAAATGATAGCTAAGTTATTTTCAACAGAAATGATAGCTAAGTATCATAGCGCGACATAAACGCAAACAAAACACTTGCATAAATCCCCTCAACTATCAAGATTCATTAGACTTGGGACGAAGCTGTGCAGAACTTGACAGTGGTCGTGACAGCATCACAAAATGCTTGTACATCCGCCACCAATTCTCCGATGCTTCATCGACCGTCCGGTAGGTCCAGATATGTGGCTTGGCCTTCTCCCGCGCGATGAGGATCTCCTCCACCTCTGCCGCCCGCTTTGTCTTGAGAGTGAGGCAGTCCACAAGATCGCCCCACTTGCCGAAGCAGTTGTCGAACTCCCCATGCCGGTAATAGTTCTGCATCTGGTGGAATGGCGAGTAGCAGAACCAGAGCATATCAAAGCATTTTATGCAGTCCAGCCGTGGTGGTGGTGGACTGCTGGTTGCCTCTGGCTTCTCTTTCGGATCCATAATCCTTGCTGGTTGCTGCATAATAAGAATCCAGCAATAGTAAGATTTATACACATTGGGTTCAAGTATTAGTACTTGTAGACACATCTTATCATAAAGAGCTCAAAATCTTGTTTGGCATGAAGAATGCACAGCCCACACGGATGGTGGTGTGCCACAATCACAGCCCAGGGGGTCAAATCTCACCATCTCAGCAAACTACAGCACTGAAAACACTACAGGAAAAGGCACACCAGAGAGTCTAATTTATTATTTTTTGATTGATAAATCCTCCAAGAGCAAGAACAAGTAACTAGAATTTTGGAATAGAAAATAACTAAAAAAAGGTGTTATGATTTTTGTTGATAAAAATAAATGAGACACAGCTAGGAATAGATGACGACTGATTATAAATCTCCAATGATATGGTAAGTTCATCTCAAATCATACAAAAGAATTAATAAAGAGGGCTAGGGATCAAACAAAATGATTTTCAGGAAAACAAAACAAGGAACTTTCTCATGTCTGTTGCCCTTGTTGCAATGACCGCAGTGGGTGGTGGTTACTCAATTGAGGCAGCAGGAGCATGTACTGCATCTTATAATGGGTTAGCTCTAGTTTTGCCATAATAACTCTAAAATTAGATTTGGTGGATATAGATGATTGCCTACTCGAAGGGCGGGCCTGGTGCAAGCGGTAGAGTCTTACCGCCTGTGACCGGAAGGTCCCGGGTTTGAGTCGCGGTCTCCTCGGACACCCTTCCCCAGACCCCGCACAGAGCGGGAGCTCTGTGCACTGGGTACGCCCTTTAGATGATTGACTACTCGCATTGCGAGACAGGGCAGCGGGTATGAAATCCCCTTGGCCCCTGCCAAACTCCACAACCTAATCTCCTCCGTTGTAGCTGAGAGGAGGTTTGAAAGATTGGGCAAAACCCCATCAAGCACACAACGGTTATGAAGGTTCCACAGAGACCAAGCAGCCAGGATGACAATCGAATTGACACCTTGCCGAGCTTGACCAGCCAAAGCCACACTAGCACCTCACTACCATTCATCAAAGGACTCTTCCCCTGGCTGAGGGGAAAGGTTCTGAAGCCCAACATTGTGCAACAACAGGAACCAGAACTGCGGAGTAAAAACACAAGCCACCAACAAGTGATCTATCATCTCATCTTCCTGGTCACAAAGGGGGAAACCGGGATGATGATCAAGACCCCAACAAGCTAATAGAACAAGCAAGACTCCACCATTGAACATGCAGTTTTTCCACAATATCCAAGCCCCCAAGGGGTACAGGGTATTGAGCTGGATGGGCCAGCATACAATGCCCAAGTTGCTGTTCTTAATTAGTTTTTGCTTCTATTATCCGTGTTAATCATCTATAACTACTTATGCATGGGACATCATAGCTCATCAGTCTAAACTTAGCAAACAGAGAACATTGGGGTCAGTCATTGTCATTCTATACCGCCCCCTTCAACCATTGTTTTTAAACATCTGTGACCCACGCCCTCGACACCAACCAGCGAGCCAGTCGACCAAGCTTTCTGGTGATTGTGAGCCAGAATCACAGTCCAAGGGGTTAATCTCAGCATCATACAGCACTGAAAACGCTAAAGGAAGAAGCGCACCAGAGACTCCAATTTATTGCTATTCAACTGCCAAAATTACCTAATGAGCAAATTTGGACTGAAATATAAGAACAAAGAAATTTTGCCTTGTTTGTTGACAAATCAAAAGACATCGGATACTCAGAAAATAGGATAATGTTTAATTTGACGCTGAAACATAAAGCATTTTGACAATGATTTTTTTTATCTGAAACAAAAAGGCGATGCAATAACATTCTGAATCAACACTAGAGGTAGCTGAAGTCAAACACAGCAATAAAGCAAAAAATAGCACTAACCTTGAAGAGGCATAGTAGATGTAGCAAAATAATTAAGGATTACATCTAAAATTACTAAGTTCAGATTGGATTTAAAAGACAAAACCAGAGTTTGTAATCAAGCAAATCAAAAAGGGAAAGGAAGTAAATACAGAATGAAGACACTAGATTCGTTACTAGAGATGTAGCAACAATAATTCAAAATTTTAGCATCGCAGGAATTCTTTATGCAAATACCATTCTAATGTACTCGAGTGTCCATTGAGCTGAATATTACGCCAATTCATGATTAGAAATGTTTCCAAAAAAAAAAAATCAGAATAAGACACTCAGAGCATCTCCAACAGATTACTCATCTCATCCCCAATACCAAGAAACCTTGAGAGGGCTCCGACGGATTACCTAACCCATTACCAATACCTAAAACTTTTCAGTAACTACTCAAAATCACTCCTCTCTCCCTCAAATCTAGGAGATTCACCCCCTTCTCGTACCTGGGTTTTTTTTGAGGCAGGAAGACACTTGTGAAGTGCTCACTGGGCTTAATGCATAGATTAAGGTGTTTAGGCGATGCCAATGCAGCAATAAGCGACAATGCTACATGCGCTGGGGCTTGGTGACAGCAGCCGTGTGATATGAGATAGCCAAAAGCGTGCTGTGTGTGCAAGTCAGGTGTGGCCTATGGGTATTAAGGAGAGGGAGGTGTTGTGCAATGAGCAGTTAGGCGAAGGAAATGCCGCAGCTACCAGTTTGTAGGAGAGCAGCATCGCGTCCCTCAAGAGCACCGAGCAGCCAAGCAATGGACAGGACTCTAGACTCCTGGAGGACTCGGCGGAGTGGAGCCTCCATGCCATTCCTAATCACTACTCCCCCGTTCTTAACCCCAATGAGGAGGGGGGGTGGAAGAACTGCCGTTTCCAGGCGGATCTCGATCCAATCCCCAATGAGTTTTTTTTTTCTCGACCTCTCAAAATACATCCTCCAACACCTCGAAAAATGGAACCCCCAATACCTAAGATTGTTGGCGGTAGACCGGTAGCTCCAACTGTCGTTCCCCTGCCGTCGCTTGCGCTGGTGCCGGCAGCCGCCGTAGAGGAAGCCGAACGCCAGATGAAGTTGACTGCAGCCGCGAGCTCCAGCCGGCGTGGATCTCCCAGCCCCCAGCTCGCTGCCCGAAGTCGTGGCGCTGGAAGAAGAGAAGAGGAGAGAGAGCGGCGGTGGTGGAAGAGGAGAGAAGGGGAAGCGGCGGAGTGGCGCGGCGCTGGCGGAGGAGGAGAAGTGGCGGCACGGCGCTAGCGGAGGACAGCGGCGACGTGGGTGGAGATCCAGCAAGAGGCCGAGAGCGGCGCGGGCGGAGAGAAAGGAGCGACGGGAGAGAGAGAGAGAGATGGGCCAGTAGGGGCCCATTGAGAAAAAAGGGGGGGAAAGGAGTCCACATGTATGAAAAGTTATTGGGCCTTCCACTAAAAAAAAGGTTATTGGGCCAGTTTTCTTATTCTGCTATAATAGTTTTTTCTCCAAATTCTAAAGTCAAGAAACATTTTGAGGCCCTTTTAATAACTTTTTGGAGGACAAAATATATTTTAGGATATGATTGGCTTAGCTATGAGCCCTGAAAAAGATGTTGTAAGCTGTAAGTTGTATAAAAAACCGATGTGCTATGAAAAAATTGTAAGATGTTTGATTGAAACTATGAAACATACACATTCTCTCTATCTCCCTAGAAACAGCTATAAAAACATCTCTCTATTTTCATTCATCTAAAAAATCAGAAAGCCAAAAGAATGGCCAAAGATGATGTGAAAATCAGTTCCTTCTAGAAAAACAGCTTCAAATTCCATCTATTCAGTTAACATTTTGTTTGTACCAGTAAAAATACTTTCCAAAAACTAAATCAAACACATACTCAATATATTGATTGATAATCTCTGAGGATCACAGTTCATAAAAAAAGTCCAATTTACCTCCCTCAACTATCGCTATAGTTCGATTTTTCTCCTTGAACTACAAAATCAGTATTTTGATCCTCTTAACTTGCATTTTGGTGATTTTAATGATGCTTTTATTGATGTGGCGCCACATCAAATGAGGGTAAACCAGACTAAGTCAATAGTTCAGGAGAGTAAATTGTACTAGAAATATTTAAAAATACCCAAAAATCATAATTTTTTAAGAAAAAATCTAAATATTTTTATAAAGAAAATAAATCCTAAAATCTGTTTAATCTTAGAAAAAACAAAGTTATTTTTTTACCTTGGAAAATTATGAAATTAGTTTTGGATTTTTTTTCTAAAATCACGCTCTGTCTTATGTTGCCCAGTTTGAAATTATTTGAATCTTTATGGATTAAATTTAGTGCTTATATGCTAGTATAAGCTTTTGCTGTTTATTAATTAGTTGATGTTGATCTTCTGGGCTACACAGAAGCGCCAATGGAGCATTGTCAGAACCGCATGCACGGATGGTGCATGCACCTACACAGGCTAACACAAGTACTTTTAAATGTATCCATGGAAGGGACCACCGCCCACCCTGTCACACATACCTGGTCCTGATTACGTGGAGCATTTTTTACGTTCTACATCGACCAATTAAAATAGTTAATGAGAGTTTCTACTAATAAAAATCAAATAGGCATCAAAATAAGTCCATAAAAATTCGAAAAAATAAGCTATGCGCTATAAGATAGAGCATGATTAAAAAAACAAAACTAGTTTCATAATTTGTTGAGGTAAAATAGTTTTTCTAAGATTAAACCGAATTTTAGGTTTTAATTGCATTATTTTTCTATGTAAAAAAATTGAAAATATATTTTTATGATTTTGGATATTTTAAAAAAAATACTTCTAGTCCGATTTGCCTCTCTGAAATTTCAATGTAGTCCAATTTACCCTTTTGACGTTGCGTCATATAATAAAGTCACCATCAAAACCATTATTCACTGTATACAAACAAATAGTTTTAAAAGTTAAGGAAGATAAAAAAAAAACTTATTCTATAGTTTGTGAAAAACCGAACAATTATCATGGTTAAGGAAAGGTAAATTGAACTTTTTTCTTACATCAGGGTTGATTAAAACCCACTCTACTCTCCCACAAGAGAATTTGACACATTGGTGGCTCATCTATGTGCTAACACGTGCCACGACCTGGTTTGCAAAAAGACCCTCCGATTTCTCAGAATCAACCCGCGGTCCACCTACTCCATCCCGCAGCCCTAGCCCGGTTTGCTTCATCCTCTCTCTCTCCTTTCTCTCCTCCCCAGCCGCCGCCGCCACCATCGCACCTCCGGCCCTCCCTGGCCCTGCCCTCTCCTCCTCGCGCAGCCTCCATACTACCGTTGCTCAAGCATGGAAGCTGCGTGTCCTCTACGGCATGGCGGAGCGACGCGAGATCCGGTGGCGCAGATTGGACGGACCTCACCTACTCCCACGAATGTCATGGTCGATGGAAGAGGAGGCGCTAGCCCTTTCCCATGCAGCCTCCATGCCGGCAAGAGCATCGTCATCGCTCGAGCAAGGGAAGCCGTGTGGCCTCGGCAGCATGGGGGAGCGCGTGGAGCCGCGCGAGATTCGGCAGCGCGTAGATCTGGCGGAACCGGTTGGCAAGTTTTAGGCGGCCTCCTATGATTCGATGTAAGCTTTCCTCCTCATATTTCTTGTGGCTGAATTGGAAGGGCTGGCCAGATCCCTGGTCGCTTCGTAGCGAGGATGCCTTATCTGTGCGGATCCCCACGTCGGCGTGTGGGTTCAGGTCAGTGAGGGGTGGGGCGTCCATCTCGAGCTGAAGGCATCCTCTGTCTTCCTGCTCTCCTGCGATGTTGGTGCTGCATAGGTGCATCCCCTTCCCTGTGCTTTGGTTCTGCTATCCGTAGTGAGGCTTGTTTCTGCTCATTTCCCTTTGCTGTCTCCAAGAGCCACACAGAACAACTCAGTTCTATCCAGGAGCCCTGTGGATTTCTATGTGCATTGCGTTCTTCTAGGAGCATTGGTATTATTTATTGGCAGTAACGGTTCAAGATGTTTTTGCGCCTTGTATTGTTTACCGGGTGAGGCCATACTCTCTAGATTATTGTCGAGCATGTCCATCTAAGTCATTAGTAAGAAATGGGTCTGCAGTTTGCTTCATGAGAAGCTACTGTGTCTAGTTACTGATGATATATGTCTACTAGCTATTTTTTCCTTTCATAATGCCACCTTTTATTCAGTGAAATATTATTGTAGTTTACTCTACTACTATGGATAACAAGTTACATACTTACATTCCTCACTGATGATTGATAGGTTGTCTGCATGGTTGAGAGAACAAGATCACTATGAGTATCGGACAGACAAATGGTAAGACTTACACTTGATCTAATTTGATAAATTTTAGTTCAGAGTGTATCTGAGTTCTGATCAGACAATATATGTACCTTCATCACCTATGTTACCCGAAAGATCATTTTTAAGGATGTTCAGTTATGACAACATGCTGTCTTTTTTTTCTAAATTTATTGTGATCACCTATATCATTTTATATTTGTTCACAGATTTTGGTTCATATAGTCACTAAAAAATAATGTGATGAGCACAGTGATTAAAGGACTGCACACTCAGCATTGTATGCTTTGATTTTACATGATTAACCAAAGCAAGTCGTGACCTCAAATACTCTTATTTCAGTATCCCTTTCCATCCATTTAGATAAGTAGAGGTGACCACATCTTTTCCGCATGCCCATTGAATTTGTCAAAGATGGAAATGAATTCCTTATTTATTTATGCCTTCTGAATTCATGTGCATGTCCTGCTCTTACAGTTAAATACATCCATTTCCTGAAGTGGTCTTTAAGCAATTCTATACTATTTACACCGATGGTATTACATGATAATTGTCATTAGTGCTGTGGACAGATGTTTGACATGATGCACTGGTCATATTGTTTCCAACAACTGAAAAGTTTGCTTTTTAGAGCAGTATATTGCATTGCTGCATTGACTTGGGCATTGTAGCCAGTTTGGCGTGAACAAGTGATTTATCCAGGTTTTATATATATTCTTCCACAAGTGACACAATCCTTTGCACCAAGCATTTAACATAGTTTCTCCAGTGATGTTTTTTTCCTAGGTCCTTATAGACGTGGATATCAACTTTTTGCTTATCCACTCCTTAAATCTGGTTGACACATTTTTGTCTGAACTAGAAGCATGATTGCTTCTTAATCTTATTCTTGGTGAAGTTAAGGCATGCAGCACGAAGGGGAAATGAAAATTGTAAGCAGATAGACATTTTTGGTGATCAACCACTAAGACTTCGGATGAACACTATGTAATGTAATTGTCAAAATTCATTTTATGAGCACTTTAGAATAATTTCCAAGTGGGTGTTTGCACAACCAAGGAGCTCTAGATGATCTGGATGTTTTCCCAAGTCATTGATGCATGATGCCAGATGCAGGATTCATAGTTATTACATGTTTTAGATGAATGTGGATTTCAGCCACATTTCTACGCGTGGTGTCCTTGTGAACACAGTAAGAGCATGAAATAAATGCATTTGAATCCTGCAATCTTAATTGATACCAAGTATGGTGGCTAGCTTGATTTGTATACATTGGCAATTTTTAAATGTTTGTGTTGAGGTTCCTGCTGTTTTGTATTAGCTCCGGTTCAGCGCTGTGCTTGAGCTACTTGTGCTTATTTTGAGATCTTAAATTCTTAATTTGCTATCGGATGGTTGGGCTCTCTATACATAATTTGCTATGCTGATTTTAAATCTTGATAATGAAATAGGACGGATTTTATCTATATCAGTCCATTCATGTGTCCGTTTTTAGATAGGGAAATATGACGAGCTCTTAACTATACCAGTTCATTCATGTGTCTGTTTTTAGATCTTAATGATATCATCTCCTTGGGCCTTTATGAGGTTATATATGTCTTTAACTTTTGATCGCGGTGAATATTAATATTTGTAATTAAAGTCATGGCAGGGCGCGCAAAGCGCGCCTGATGTTCTAGTCTTCTACAACTAAAAAGATATTTTTTTTTGCGATATTTGTTTTGGTTCGTTCATCTGCCCACGCCTGCAATCCTCGCATGCTTTGAAGAAAACAAATCGATCACCTGAGACCACATGCATAGAAGGAAACAATAATCATGTAATGCACGATAGAAAAAGAAATTGTCATCCCTGCGATTTCTGCCTACTTTGAAGAAAATAAATCGATCACCTGAGGTCACATGCGTGGAAGGAAACAATCATGCGGTGTTCTTTTCTCGCTCGGTCAGATATCTTTCATCTCCACGTAAATCGGATCATATGGTATTGTCTATAATTTTGAGGATATTAAATTTAGGCTGGGTGCATAGTAGGTCACCTAGCTTTATTCTTGCAACTTCTACATCTTTATGTGTTAGTCTTTGCCAATGGTATAATTTGTTCGCAAAGCTAAAACAAGACAATTGGCAAAGATCAAGCAAGACGACTCAATGAGGTTGACCCTTAATTTTAGTATTTCCAGTATGCAGACCTGAAATTAAAAAGGGGTTGCTCCTTGAGAACATTAGTGGTGCCAAATAAAAGATGTGCATGTTATACATGGTGAGACTGGTGAACCTTCTGCAATTTTCTAAACGAATATTCCCACTATTAGTATATAGGTTCATTCCCCTGCGTTTCTTCGTGCTCCCATTAGCATATAATATGAAAGTATTATTATGTTCATCACGATTTCCAGTTGACTACTCCCATTAACATATACTTCCTCTGCCCTAAAATATAAATCGTTATGGGATGCGTGCAGATCAAACTTTCTCAACTTTGACTAGGTTTGTAAAAAATACGTGCAATATTTATATCTCCAAATAAGTTTATTATAAAAATATATTCAATGGTCTATGTAATGATACTAATTATATATTATAAATATTAATATTCTTTTATATATAATTGGTCAAAGTTAAAAAAAACTTGACTTCTCGGGAAGCGAGAATGAATTTTATTTTGGGACAGAGGGAGTATATGAAAGTAGTGTTGAAAATATTTTAACAATCAAGTTTGTCTCTGTCTGATTGGTAAGCTTAGACATCATAATGACATCAAAAATTTCGACTCTCATGGACACCCTCATGGATTAGTGCAAAGCATCCTAATCCTACAGCATACACAAATGGCAACCTTAAAGTTATGATATTTTTAAAGGGTGGACAACAAAGACCATCTTAGACGTTCTGGCATTAGAGTATATACGTACAGGCACATAGGCATGATGGTGCAAGTGAGCAGCCAGCAGGAGTCAAGAGTTAGGGGGTGTTTGGATCCCAGGACTAAACTTTAGTCCTTGTCACATTGAATTTTTAGATATCAATTAGGAGGACTAAACATGAGCTAATTATAAAACTAATTACATAAGTTGTGGCTAATTCGGTTGCCAGCGCCGTGTACAGGATGGTATGGAGATGTGGTGGAACTTATTCGTAGATTTGTTGGCGCATGAAAGAAATGGATATCGAAAATCTCTTCCTGCCGGTATAAAAAATGATCTTAGCTGCATCATGAAAAGATCTACACAGTAGAGTTTGTGAGCCTGCGATGCCACGAAACTTATATACTCGAACCTGTGTGCACGTGATTATATGGAGATGTAGTGAAACTTATTCATGGATTTATTGGCGCATAAAAGAAATGGATATCATAGAATTCTTTTTACCGATATAAAATATTATTTTAGCCATATCACGAAAAAACCTATACAGTAGAGTTTGTGAGCCTGCGACGTCGCGCTCTTCGTGACTGTGTTAATTTCATGAACTTTGCTTTTTAAATTAAATGTCATTTTGATGTCGGTATTTAATTTAATAGTATTATTATCTTATCATACGATCTATATGTTTTTAGTATAAAAGATTTAGTTACTCGTACCACGCACGAACACGCTAGTAAAATATAAAAATTACATGGTTGGAACTCGGATGTCGTCGTCATGTAGGCGGTGGCATGGTTGTCTGGTTCGCTCGGAGGCCAGCATCGAGGACGGCGGCTAGGTGTTCTTGCAGAAATGAACCCAAGCTTGTTCATGGGCTTGGCTTCTCCATGTTGACATGTTGGGCTTATGGGCCCAATTAGTAAAATATTTTTCAGTCGTGGGATCTGAAGCCTTGTGTTTTTATCTCACAACAAATCGGCATCAGCATAAGCCATTTTTTTAGCAGGGCCTTAGATAGATTTTTTTTATTTTAAAATCATGTTTTGTAAAAATATCTCTCCAAAGAAAAAATTGTAAAATATATTTTTTGAGAGAGTACAACTAGATGCACACAACTCACACAATCCTCACTCACACCACATGCACACACAAGTGTGTGCGTCCGTACACTCGCAAAGAAAGATGTTAGGAGGACCTCCAGTGTGTGAAAAATGCGCAGTACCACAGAATGCGGGAGAAACGAGCAGTACCACTAAACGCGCACGCGTGTGTACCCTATCTTTTCTGAAAAAATCCAGAAAAAGACGTGACACCAAGATTTAAACCCTGATGGGTAGTGTCCCAGCCCTACCACTAGATTGCAGGCTCTATCACATAAAACTATCCTTGTGTAACCGCCGATTGAAATGCCATGAAGGACCCACCGCTACTTAGGATGGCAGAATATTGGGTACCCCTGTTTGAATTGGCATAACTTTTTGTGCCGGCTCATCTTATAAAAATATATATATATATCTTTTATGTATAAACACGAATAAAGATAATATTAATATAAAGTTGTAGACAAAAAATATCTACAACTTTGTAGTTCAAGTCTTTTTATTTTAGATCATTTTGACACCTACAAAAACTTATACAATTTTATCTTAACA